CTCGGTTTAGACAAAGTTTATTTTAAAAATTACTTCGCCAATGAACTCGTATAAGCTGAGTCGTTTTTTAAGCCATTTAAAGCACTTGTAGTCGTGTTTTATCACATATAAAACACTCCGCTACGCGTCGTGTTCTTTATGTGATAAAACACTCCTACGCGTGCTTTAAATAGTACATATATATAAATATATATATTTCGCTTACCTCAAAATTCCGCAACAGTCTGTTTCATCTTTAAACTTACTGATGAAACAGACTGTTGCGGAATTTTGAGGTAAGCGAAATATATATATACCGGGTGTCCCAAAAAAAAGTACTCCGGTTTGTATCATAATAACCTCTAAACAAGTAAAGCTATCAAACTTAAATAACTTGCATTAAATAGAGGAAGGGCTAACTTAGATTTTGATATATTACAGTTGTATTTTACTTAAAAATTCACGGAGATATTAATGTTCAAAATCGGGAGCATATTTTGGAATGTGTCTAAAATTAGCGAAAATCGGCATATCAAATATTTACTCCAGCGTTTGTTTGCTTAATGACATATCAGGCTAACTTGTATTTCAGTGAATTGTCGTTAGGGTTTGTAAGGGATATGCCGTATATTTAGACATCTTACATGTAAGTCTTATAGCTCATTGTTTCCTGAAATATGAACGCTCGTAATTATGCAAGTATTTAATAGGTTTTTGCAATCTTAAAAGTAGATGAAAGACCATGCAAGGCAGGCGCTTAAATAGCTTTTCTTAAATAGCCTAATTTTTTTATGTTTTTCATGTGTTCAAAACAGTTGATTTTTTCTTGGTTATAGCAAGATGAATATTATTCTTTAATGAAGGAAATAATATTGCTATCTGCAAATACACATCACAGTATCAACGCTACTATTTTGTTACGTTTTGTTCCAAAAATGCTGGATGTCTCTGGGGAGTTGCTTGTTATGTCTTATGGAGTTGTATGGTTTGATTGTGTTTCATTCTCTGTTCATTCTGAACTTGCCAAGATTAAGAAAAGGCAAAAGAGTTTGGGTGTGCTAAACAAGATTTCAGAACGTTGCAGGAGTTAGAAGAGCTTCACAATCCATTGTGACAGCATGCCCTAATTCTGAACTACGAACGATCCATGCATGACGATCCTTCGCTATGCAGTGGTCTCATGAAATAAGGAAACGTATATATTCGTGCTAGGAGCACATGCGGATTTCGGAAGAATAAATCTTGTTTGTATTTTGTAGATAATAATACTTTGTTTCATAATAAACAATTTGTCAAGTGTCATTTATTTACTGGTAATAGTGCATGTTTCAGTCGGGCAAATCTTGATTATATTTGATACGCCGTTTTTTGCATATTTCAGACACATCCAGAAATATGCTCCCAATTTTAAAATTAATATCTCCTTGCATTTTTAAGTGAAATACAACTGTAATATATCAAAATTCAAGTTAGTCCTTCCTCTATTTGATGCACGTTATTTCTCTTTAAAAGTTGTATTTGTTTAGAAGTTATTACGAATCAAACAGGAGTACTTTTTTATATATATATATTAGATCAGACTAGATATCAGTCCTGAGAAAGGATGGAGCAATGAAGATATGTTTGTACCGCCTGGATATCACCTGAATGCTGAAATAGACAGTGAAGATAAAAAAGCGGAAAACAACGAGCAGGGTGGACCTGTGTATGCATACCCTGCAGGAATTGGTACTACGATGATGAATGGTTGTTGGGGGACAGGGTACAAACCTGGTGATCCTTGTTATCAATCTTTAGAAGTGTTGACTGCCTGTCAGGTGTGTTTATTATTAATCTGATTTATATGCTAAAAAAACAGATAACTAAACAGACGTATATAAAATGACAGGCAAAGAGACTCATATTTCTGTTCAGCCCGCAATGGCGCTTGTCAATATTTAATCCACATTTCCAATCTTTAATAAGGCAAATAATATTTATTCACTGAAAATTTCCGTAATGTTCTAAAATCTGTTTGCGTTTTTGCTGCAGAATATGATTGACGGCGCGGCATTTATTGGTGTTGGTTTTGACGGACGTGGTAAATATAGTCCAGAGTCAAGAAAAATGAGTATTATACAACGTTCTTGTGGTGGACGTCAATAGTAAGGAAAATATACCAAATAATAATTACATTATTCGAAGTATATATGTTCCCAGCAACCAGGTTTAATTAACTTACATGTAGTTCGGACATGTTTTTATTTCGCTTGCTTTCCGAAACTTACTTAATTAAACCAGAGTACGTGACTAGTAATTATTGAATTATGGCTATGCTCTGGCCAGCCAAAATCCGAAGACTTTGGACCCGCTAAGTAACCCTTGTGGACCGACTACATTACCACCACCCGCACGGGATTTATTTGTTCATATCAAAACTGCTACAAGATGTGAAAAGCTGTGTTACCCCAACTCCCATAGAATACGATCTATTTATATTCAAACACAGTGAAAAATATGGATCGAGAATACTGATCATTTTTATGTTGCACATTGTTTACAAACCACGCCGAAACTATATTATGAATCGTATCGAGCGACAAGTGTGAAAATATTCAATTTACATTTGGTCGGTAGCCTATATGCATATAGCATCAAACATTAATACTTTTGGGAAACGGAATACCCTAGAAAGCAGATGGAGTGGTAAATGTCGAAATTTCAGCTAGATAATGGATACTCTTGCCTCTTACAATTGTCGATTACTGTCATTAATATCATTTAGCGGACGTGATAATGAAACTGGTTTGTCTAAGGTACACTGACAATTTTGAGATATTTCAGCAAAGAACAAATTTCAAATATACAATCCCATGTGTTTTTACGCTGTAAATTACTCGTTGGCAAGAAATATCTCAGGAGCCGGTTGTTCAAAAGCCGATTAGCTTAACCCTAGGTTAACTTAAAACTCAAAGCACACTTCCTAACTGCTTGTTTTTAAATTTGGAATACTTCTTCACAAACCATGTATGGATCAATAGAAGTTTTCTTTTCTGATATTTTGAAATAAATGGACATGCAGAAATATGCAAACTAAAACAGTGGGTTAAATTTTAACCCTGGGTTAGCACTAATCTACCTATGAACAACCGGCCCCAGGGATTTAATTTCTTGAGTACATATTTACAGCATGTAAACTATGTAAAAAGTAAATTGCGCATTGCTGTAACACAAATGTACAACCAACCATTGTGCAAGTTGAAGTTGACCAAATGTAAGAAGTGTTCCTATTCAATACTTATAAATCGAACAAAGTTATGCAATTATTTATATTGTTGCTGCTACCTCCTCCGCAGGCCATACAGCCCGTAATGAGTATTCCTGTTCGCAGGTTGAAATTTTAAATTTGAGACAACGGCTTGTGCAGCTGTAAGGCCTGCTGAATAAACTGTCCATTACTTGGCTTATAGTGTCGATTACTCGGTTGGATCAAATTTCTTCAAAAATATGGCACATCGTCTGCCAATCTTTAGCGATCCTGTTTTGCGAGTATTTTCTAAATACATGCATCTTGGCAGGTATGGCGGATAAAAGCGACGAGGAGCTTCAAAGAATGGAAGGTTTTAAAAACGGAAGCGACAGTGTTATAGACGTCGTGAATCTATCATTTGGCCAAATGGGATGTTTTGACTATATACCATAGAAATAATAGATATCGAATGCGTGCTGATGACGAATCATGTCTCCACTTTTTCACAGTGCGTGCCCTTTTGAATGCGCCATTTTGAATTTTGGCTAGGAGTGCAAACTACAACGTATAAACAAAGCCAAAACTACGTTAAAAAGTTTTCATCGTCAAAACGTTTTGTCTTGTCGTCTAATTTGTCGTTCGGGGATAGATTTTGAATTCCTTGAAGGCACAAACTGTCAAAGCCAATGTGCAGTTACAAAACGGTGAAAATCGTGCAGCCTTGTAAAAACAAAGTAGTTTCGCGAAAATATAATTTACTCATAAAACATTTATGCATGCTCTGAACGTAACTGTTGCTAACATCTTAAAAGATTATAAAATGATAGTTCTTTCTTCGTCGGGTTTCTTTTTTTTTTAACAATTATGTAATCAAAGTGTTTTCATGTTCTTGAAACAAAAATATTTTGTTGTCGATAAGCAGTATTAAAATTAAACCTTTTCTGAAGCCAATTCTTTTTCTCCACTGGGATCTTCAGTGACATGAAAGCTGCACGACCTTTGCGAGATTGTGACTACTCATAGATAAATGTGTGACCGAGAGCTGGCCTTATTCATAATGATATACGAAACTTCACAATTTGTTTTCAAGACATCGTAAGTAACTGCAAGAAAGCAAGTCTACAAAGAATGCTGTAGGGACTATTAAAAAATTTGAAAATTTCACCGAATGAATATTCACCGAGTGAATATTCACCGAGAAGAAATTAATTACCCGTGAATATTCACCGAGAAGAAGTCGATCAATAAAATAAAATATGCAAATATCAAATCAATTAAAATTCAGATATAAAACTGTTTTAGACCCTGCTTTGAATATAAACAAATAACGGAATGACTTTTTCACCAGACTTATAGAATTAAAAAATTATTTTCTGTTTAGCACTAATTTTTCAGGAAATGGCTGAGAAATTTGGTAAAATGAAATGTAAAACTATGTCGTTTGAAATAAAGTTTTAATAACATTTTTTTGTTTTGCAAGTTTCGAAAACACAATACAGCGGTCAGAACATCATACCGCTCAATGAAAACATGGCATATCAAAACTGATAGTAGTATCGTACAAATTGAGAAATCTATAGGATAGCACGGCAAGATTTTTCCCAACTGTCGGGATAGTTTTTGCTATTTGTTTGAAATAAGTGAATGTTTCAGAGTTTTAATATTAAATAAGTTTTAAATTGCCGGTGAATATGGTTGACACTGTAAAATTGAAGGAATCCTACCCACGTCGGGGCACGCGTGCCCGCGAAAGTTGCAAGCACGCGCGTGTTCGAATTTTTGCGCCGCGCAAGCAAGGGAATTGGACCTAGTCATGTTGTGTTTTAAGCTGATCTTTGGGTGCCTAGCAACAGGGCAATTTTCGTTCATGTAAATTTGGCAGCCATTGTTGGATTCTAGAAGTCTCAAAAATTAATCTGATACCAAATACTTTAATGTTATCGGTATTTTTGTGCTGAAAATTTAAAGCTATTATCGACAGAGTTGCCACTCCGAGTCCGAGTTGTCAAAATTGAGAGGATTTGGCTTCATATAACTTGATTCATATTTGTGTAATGGCTACTAAATATTTTCTATATCAACCAAACACTATCAGGTAAGAATCCTATGTTTTATTATTTTTATTACGTGCTTCATTTCGTCTTATGACGGCTTTATTTGAAACATAGTTTTCATTACTACGCCATTTTTAGTTTCTAGCCTATGACTTACTATGGCAAGAAGAAAGGCTAAATTGTACAGTCGATTTGATGTTGCCACTTATTTGCCAACCTCGTTCCCAGGGTCTTTAGGAAAGACCCTGGTATCGGCTGGTCACGTGCCTCGTCCAAAATTGATTGCCCGAGGGGGGTGTGGTGAAGGTATCAAATTACAAACAGTTAATACTTGCTAATTTTTGTTTATTTTATTTGCTTTGAATTTACAAGAACATTCTTACATTTTTACCAACAGTCAAGTCAAGAAACAAAGCAAATCGTTACTCGCAGTGCTCTCTCGTGTTATTATTATTCAATGCTCTCTTCACACTCGATCGCGGTTTTATAACAAACGTTTATGGGCCTTTCAGTGGTCACCATTTCTACATATCTAATGTTTTTAAAACAAGCATTATATTTGTCCTTTCTTGTAAACGTTGCTATGCTTTGCACGTCTTGTTTATAAGATTTTTAAAAAAAACAGTATTGTATTGTATTGTCTAGGACTAGAGAGTAGAGCCCAATATCAGCAAATGTAAACATTTGATATAACTAGCCATACAGAGAAATGACTGTCAGTGATTTATCTTTAAAATTTTGGATTTAGTACATAATTCGTATTCATTAATTATAGTAAAACTTTAGCCTTTTTCTTGGTCAGATAATGTTTTCCTAATATGCACACAACTAGGCTATAATCTACATCACAAATTTACAGTGTCAGACGCGCACAGACTTCCATACGAATTCGAATACACATAAATTTTCGAGTTTTCTACTTCTACTAAGGCTACTAACAGTTTTCATTGTGTCTCAATCGTCTGTTTATTTCTAGTTCAATAAGTTTATTTACATTTCTATATTTATTTGATAGTGGCATATATAGTGAAACATGTAGGCTATTTACACACAATCCTGGATATGATAGAGACGATACAAGCTGTCCATTAAAAATAATGGTATTCTATTTCACAAAGCAAAACATTTAAATCTCAGTTGTATTATTTAGAATATATATAAAGAGAAAATTAGAAAATTAAAGCTTGTGTCAAAACGAAAGCTGTTTATAAAATTTATAAATGTGGTATAAACACAGACAGTACTAAACAGTGCTGATTGAAAGACATAGATATATTGTCGTTTGACTTATCTCATGATGTGTAACTTTACTGTAGGCTAATACCATATATTTTCCTATTGTTTGAAGGCATGACGCGAAACGTCATGCTTCTGTGAGCATCAGTATAGAATATAAAAGGAAGTGATTATGATAGAATAATCCTTCACGTTCTCGCGCGGCAACTACAACCTATACACTTGACTGAACTGCAGAATACGTTTTTCTTATTCATTACTTCGAAGTCTATTGCTATCTATTGGAGAAATGTCGACTTTCAGCCCAAATACAGATGGTCAAGTTGGGCAAGTCTTTGAACAATTAAAAAGTTATATTGATACACGATTAAGCAATCTCGAGAATTCTTTACAATCGGCGAACCATGATCAACCTGAAACGAACGACATTCAAGCGTCGACTAGGAAATTACAACGAGAGGCTGACGCCTTTAAAGTTTAAGTATAAGGCGAACGCCAAACAGTTTATCTATAATGCTGAAGTCAAAGATTTGGTTGTTTCCATGGTAGAACATCTTGCGAAAGAAAATCCTCATCGCGAGCAGGCGTTGGAATACGCTAAAAAAGCTTTGGTATTGATACATAAGCGCCAGAAGTTGATTAAATTGGCCAATAAAAGTGATGCGCGTTGGCTGGTCGTCGAGGAATATGAAAGTGACGAATTGGCTGATGATTCGGAAGACGACAAGAAATCCGGAAGGCACAAGATAAAGCCGCCAGGAAGAAACAGCAATTGCTGCAAACTAAGAATAAGCGACAGCGAACGAACTCTTACGAGTTTCCCTATGGCGCGGTGTGAGGTCGCCAGCTTTTTCAAGGTAATTGTGTGCAGGTCGCTTGCTTTCTTTGTAATTTCAAATAGGCTTGTTTGCTAAGACAAGCCTAGCCTATAATAACAAACTAGTTTGGTTATTGTATTGTGTACAGAGGAATGGCGAATTAATAGGAAAATGCTTTTCATTCGGACGAATACCATGAGGGAGAATGAAAATATATTTTCCTATTGTTTGAAGGCATGACGCGAAACGTCATGCTTCTGTGAGCATCAGTATAGAATATAAAAGGAAGTGATTATGATAGAATAATCCTTCACGTTCTCGGCAACTACAACCTACACTTGACTGAACTGCAGAATACGTTTTTCTTTTGTTTTATTTATAGGTATGAAGTTGATCTTAATTTTATTACCCATACTGCCTTGTCCAGTACGGGGTATAGACTAAAACAACAAAAAACAGTTTGGGGAAGCGATCGAGGCTTCCAAATTTATTCTAAACACGATACGTGAAGGGTATAAGATTTTGTTCTTAGTTGAACCAGCATATTCTTTCAAGCTGAATAATCGTTCAACAAAATCGCATAGCGATTTTGTTAGTGATGCAATAAATGAGTTATGAGAAGGAGACCGGATTTCTAAAGTAAAATGTAGACATGATTACATGTAATCAGTACTCTCTCAGCGTCAGTTCAGCCATCAGGGGAGACAAGACTTATCCTAAATCTAAAAAAATGCCTTTACAAGAAGACGGTAAAGTTTGATGATCGTAAGAAAGCCCTAGATTTTTTTTTTT